CATCAAGCTAAGCTCTTCTGTTATTCTCACTTCCACCTTAGCTGGGGGCTGCGGGATCCCCATTTTGTAGAAGCAGCAGGTGAGGTACAAATGGATCAAAGGAGTGATCTTCAAGGATGAGGATCATGTCAGCCTGTGTGATTCAGGATGCATCACTTCTCTGGGCCCATCTCCTCACCACTGACTCCCACAGGGCCGACAGGAAGCTTAAGGCTTTGGAACAGGAATCTAGTATCTGGTTAGTATTTTTCATCAAGTCTAAAGGGAGTAAAAGTTCCAGAATGTTCTATATGATAAAGCCTATTCACAAGCCATGGGGGCTCAGCCTGCCTGTTCACCCTCAACAAAGCCTAAAGTCACTTCTAAGGGTCTCAGAGCCTGTAATTCATTTCCAGAACACTGACTTTTTAAATGTTACTCATTGGGTCAGGACACTAGCAGCCAGGTGAGAGGAGAAAGCCCCTTTACCTAATTTTCCCTCTACCTGCTTGCATTAATTTCTTGGCTATGCTGGTCCAAAGTGCCACCACCGAGGGATATAATGGGAGTTTAGTTTCTTGCTGTTCTAGAAGCCTGAGATCAAGTTATGGGCAGGGCCATGAGGACTCTCAAGGATCTAGAGTAGAATGTTCCTCAATTCCTCCAGCTTCCCGTATCTCTAGGCAATCCTCGGAAGTCCTTGGCTCAGAGCAAAAGTCCTTGGCTCAGAGCAAAAAAAAGAGGTGAGGCTCAGTCCAGCCTCACCTCTGTCTACATGCATAGTCTTCCTGTGTGTTTGTGTGTCAGACATGAATCACTCTTCCCTGTCTTTTATGCGGTATGATAAAAAGGTGTAGTGAGTGTTTAAATTTTTTAGATAATTAATGCATTAAAAAACATACGGTATCCTCAGAATTATCCCCCTCAGTTAGAACATACTTATTCTGTCACGCTTCTCACTCTCTGAAGCGTAGGGTGGCTAGGATTCTCAGTGAGATCATCGTTCTTTGATATCCCTGGTTATCATTTCTCTGTATTTCAGTGTGAGTCTGCTATTTCTAAACCTCTCTGGTGGGAAATACTGGTTTTGTCTTCTTCAAGGGATTTGAGGAATTTGAGAGCTGATGTGGGATAAAGAAAAATCTTGTCCAAGGAGAATCTCCTGGTAGAAAGCCAACAATGATTGTATCTATATAGAGGTCAGTTAGGGGCAGTTAATGAAGCTGAAACCCTAAATTACAAAGGTAGGATGTAGGCTGTGGAAAACTCTGTACCAGAAAGGATGGCCTTGGGAACCACCTGCTCCAGGCTCCCGCCAGTATCTCATTTTCTATACAGCAATACTTCCCTGCCTTTTTCATTATTGTCTAGTAAAGGAGCCTATTTTGACAATATTTTCAATATCAGAAATCTGTTATCACTATCTATGTCCTCTAGCCTTTTGGAAGGACATGGCTAGTATGATAGCTAACATTGTCCCCAAGCATGGAGACGATACTGCCCTCCTTCAGAAAGCATGGTCTGTAATATATCCCTGATCAGTAGTTCTTCAGCCCTGTGAGAAATTTCAGGCATGCTTAGGTCGATAAGGTTCATCTCCTTTTTGAAACCCTCATCACTGTATCCAGGTGGCCATACAATTGTACTCGCCAAAACTCAACTGGCTAAGCCAACACGCTAGCCATGTGCAAGGCAGATGGGGTTGGAGGGCAAAGAGTTCTTCCTCATTTCCCCCAGTGGTGGTGCTCAGTTCTCCCCTGTGATGATTCTGCTGGACGCTCAGCAGCTGGGGTCAGGAAAACAGGTCATTTTTCCCTATAGGAAGCAGTCTTTACCCCAAGGAAAGGAGCAATGCTGGGCCAACATGCTTGTGAATGAGGGGTTTTTTATACAAGGTGGAAACATACAGGTAACAGGGCCTTCAAGCTTATGGCCATCACAAAGCCTTGGATACGAGTCTCTCAGAATTGCTACATTTCTGGGTAACTGGCACTGTTGTCACCATTAGGAATAAAAGAGTAAATCCCACAGGAATCTACTTGCTCCAAGTAAAAGCCAAGAAATACAAACTGGGAACCATGAAGCCTATGGAAAGAGAAACACATTATGGTGAAGAATGTGAGCCTGATCTGAGCCTCAGACAGCCACAGCCCGATCAAGTCAGGTCTTCCCACTTCACAGTACGGGGCTACAGCGTCCTTAATGAGGTGCAGCTTTCTCATTACACGTTCAGCTGGTTCTAAGAGAGAAAAGACCGCATGATTCAAGGTGGAAGTTTTCTTTCAGGAAGTATCAGCATACACCTGATGGATTTGTAATTTAAGAAATCTGTTTTCTCCTACAAATATCCTTTTGCATGCCAACACACTGGTACCCAAACACTAATTCATCCCCTAGAGCTTAAGAGTCCTGAGAGGTGAAATCACCTCCAGACCTCACACCTCCTAACACCCTCTTGGGCAGCAGCTCACAGGTAATGACAAGTATCTGTAAGAGCCCGTGGTGGGTGATTGCTCAGGCCTAGCTGGGCTTGCTGGGAAGATCTGTGCCACCCTGGAAGGGTGGGACTAGTGAGCCAAACTCCAGGAACCTGAACTGAGTGTCGATCCCTTTTGTCCCTGTCATGGTGAGTCACCTGACTCATGCATGGCTCTCCAGCAGTGGAGAAGTGTCTATGCTTAGCTGGAAACCAAAAAGTGTCTATGCTTCCTGGAAACCAGGAAGAGTAACCACCTCGGCTTAGCAGCTACAGACTGTCAATTGAACCTCTGTTCTGTCTTTCAATGCAGCCCGTCTCCTCTGCCCGGTGACTCTGCCCTGACTTTGTCCTATTCCTCACCTCTCCCCTGCTTAAAAGAGCTGACTCTAGGCCTTCTGTCTCTCCAACCAGGAGCCCCAAACCACAGGGTAGATCCTCCCCTTTCTCATGGGTGAAGCTCAGACTTAGGAGCCTGCCTCTCCACGTCAGCCATCCCTCCATGTCACTGCCCACATGCCCTAGGCCTGAGCCCAGACCAGAATGTGGTCTCTGTCCCCTTCAAACAGGTCCTCATGCTTCGTTGTACAATAGGCCATGGTGCTGCCCCTCGCTAATCCCAAGAGGTGGTTAGAAGGCTCTTCTGTTCACCAGCATGTGGCTCTGAGCAATTGTATGGCCATTTGGTGCTTGCTTTGATCTGCCTGTAAAGTAGGTCAATGATAGGGTTATTCTATCACCCACAGTTGGGTTGGGAATCAAATGATTTAATGCAGGTAAAATGCTAAGAATGCCCAAGACACAGAATGCTCAAAAAACATTCACTACCGCAAATATCATTACCCTCGCCCACCTGTTTTGTGCCGTCAGGACACCTAAGCCAAAGTGTGGGTAAAGGTGATGAACCCTAAACTTTCAATGCCCTGGGGGTTCCCACTGCAGGCCTCTGTGGCAAGCCAGAGATGGGGATGGAGTTTGCAATCCCCCAAGCTGAATCTACTGCAGGGTAACTCCTGATGCTGAGCCAGGACTGTGGAAATGCCAGGCAGGTCCCTGCGAAGATGGATATCTGCCCTCCCTGCTCCTTCACCGCAGCTGGAACAAGTCTTTTCTAAGGCCAGGACTGAAATGGAGGAGTGCATGGAACAGCGGAGCCCTCATCTGCTTCTCTCTTTGCAACTAATCCCAAGGGAGGCATTGGGCATTCCTGTGGCCCAGGGTTTCTGTGCACAGGCGCCCCTGCCCTTCCTGATTACTGTGCCTGTCTGTCGGCCTCAGCAGGGCCTGATGAAAATCTCCTCTCAAGGACATCTCTGCACTCTGTCCCTGTCTAACCAGCTCCAGGAGGAAGGCCAGAGCCCAGCACTGGAGAAGGGGAGCTTGCGGTAAATGGCTCTAACTTTACAAGCTCCCCATCTCCAGCCGGAAACCATGATCGATAAGCCCTGCCTGCCTGCCTGTCACATTCACTCCTGCCCAAAAAGTTGCGGTTGCCTCCTCTCACTTGGTCCTGGGGAGGTGGGATGCAGGAGTTGAGCAGAGTTGGCAGGAGTTTCAAGGCTCAGAAGCAGCTCCCTTTGTGGGTCTTCACTGAGACTGGCTGGGAGGAGGCACCCCATGGCCAGGGTCAGGGACCTCATTCAGCACGGAGCAAGTAGAATTGTCAGGGGTACCAGGGCTCTCCACTCCCAGGACAGGAAGGTCATTCATTCCACATCAGGCCTCCTGGTGGAAGTTGAAATCCGAGTCCATATGACAATGGGGGAGGGACACTCAAATCTCTCTGCTTTAGAGCATCAAAAGCCAGTGGCCCTAAGAACTATCTTTAGTTACTGGAGATGCCAAGTGAGAAGCCTAGGGTCAGGGTTTCAGTTCTGCCACACAGGAGTTAAACCAGAGCCCTGGGGATCTGTTTGAGCCTTTGTGTTTTTACATGCAAAATGGTAGTAGTTTCTTGTCCTGCCTCCCTCAGGGGGCTCTACATATATTAATTGGTTCAGCCACTAATTAAACAGCTGTTGACAACCAGGCCTGAGTCCTGGCTGCCAGGAAGGTATCAGCCAAGCTCCTGATGTTTCTGGAAATTCATAGTCTACAGTCTAGCTGCTAGGATGAGGCATAGGAGTACATATTTGTGGAAGAACCCTGGAAAATATGAAATGCCAAACTGAGAGTATTGTTAACACAAAATGATAACATTAAAAGTAATTATGGAGATTTAGGATTTGCCAGGCATGCATGAGGACATGGGTTCAATCCCTAATACCACTAAAAATACCAAAAAGGGATAAAGCTATAGATTAGGTTGGTGCTTCTCAGATTGTATTATACATTTAAATCGTCTGGGATCTTGTTAAAATGCACATGGCTGCTCAGACGTGTTGGGTAGGCCTGAGATGATGCATTTCTTGCAAGCTCCCAAGAAATATTGCTGCTACTGGTCTTGGTCATGCTTCAAATAACAAATCATTAACAAGATAAATACTGACCCATCACTGTTTGCCTTAGTCACTGTTCTCATCACTGAAACACACTACCCAATACCTGCAGTTTAAGGGAAGAAAAATTTATTTCAGTTCACATTTCAGAGCGTAGTCCTGGTAGCTCCAAAGGGAAAAACAACATGGTGGAGGCCATGTCCAGCAGAGGAGGGTCCAGCAGAAGAAAGCTGCTCAGTTATGGCGGGCAGGATGCAGGGCAAGGAGGAGCTGGGGAGGGAGATAAACCCTTGCAGGCCACACCCTCAGTGACCGTCTCCTTTGACCAGACCCTGCCTCCCATCAGTGAGCCTGCTATACCACTGCATAATCCAGTCAGTTTCCCAACACTGGAGCCTTGGGGATCATTTCAGATCAAACCACTGTTCTTTAAAACCCAAATATAACATAGTTTATCACATGAGTTAACTAGAGAGTCTTGTGGGTGGGGGACTCACAAGTTCTAGACTAGAAAGCCTGCTTGAACAGAGGCTATCACGGGTGGTCTGTGCTTCTGTAAGGAGCTCTGCAGACTGAGACAGCAGGTGGCAGGTGTCTTTCAGGGAGGAAGGGTCTGCAGTAGCAGACAGGTGTGCTTATTTCAGGTGCTCCTCAGGGGTATCCACATGCTTTGTGGAAAGGCAGTTGTCTAAGTCACTTTCCTGTAGCTGGAACAAAATACCCGACACCCACAACTTAAAGGAGAAGAGTTTATCTTGGCTTGTAAGGATCTGTCCATTTGCAATCAGCTCTAACGCAGACACGGCAGGACAGAAGGACTATGGCAGAGAAAAACTGCTCAACCCATGGCAGTCTTCCAATAGCCCCTTTTCTGAATATATAAAACTTTTTGGGGGACATTTTAGATCTACTCTACAGCAGCTGTTTGCCTTAGTGCAAGAGGCAGACATGATTTTAGCAGATCTTGCACGGTTTCTCTTGGGCACCCTCTTCTTCCCATATGTGTTCAAGGGAAGGGAGCTGGACTTCTTAGGGATCTCAACTAAGACTTTTGATTGATAAAACAACCTGGCTTAAGCCAGAAAAACAACACATCAGTTCCTAGGTCTGGACAAGGAATACAGCCAGATGGAGACTGAACTCTTCCTCAGACCCTTTCTTTTATCTTTCATAAAAAGATTCCTTTCTCTGTGTGCCCCAGAGCATCTACTATGAGGCCACAGAAAGGACCCAAGAAAGTGAATAGAGAAAGCAAGTGAATAAATATTGGGTCATAAGTTTGACCTTGAAGGGTGACATCCTCATGCTTTTTGCTTAGAACAGAGTTGGGGCACCTGTAAAATTCAATTTTTCACTTGATGAACTCTTTGCTTCAAAAATAAAGCCCATAAACTTGTTCAGCAGCTGGAATTTTCCCTCTGATGAGAGTACCTCGTCTGGCAGTTGACTTAAGCAGTTATTTCCAGCCTATAATTTTCACAAAAACAGTAGGGTGTGCCTGGCAGGAGATGTTTTCTACAATCCCATGGAAAAAAAACAATGAAAAAACTTTGGAACAAAGAATGCTCTGATTTCATTAGACAATCATTGACGATTCAAGATCAAGGCCAACAGAGATGTGGAAAGTTTTCAAGCAGACTTGTGAGGAGTTGGGGAATTCAGAGGGGTCAGGAAGAATGCATGCTGTAGACTGGCTGGCTGGGAGAGGTGGGGAAGGGGCTGCGGTATCTGGGGGGAAAGCTCAGAGCCCCCAGAAGGTGGCATCAGTGGAAGCTGGGGCTTAGTAATGAAGAAAACAGAGAAATCCAGGATCCAGAGGAGAATGGCACTTTAGGGTGCTGACTCCAAAAAGCTGAAAAATGCAGTCCAGGAAGTGAGAAGACACAAAGGCGAGGGCAGATTTTGCCATGATGGAAAGAATTTGGGCATCAGAAGCAATTTGAAGTAGCTCTGTTTTCCATGCCTAAGCAAGTCCTATGTTTCCTAGACCTGCAGGAGGGGAGAGAGAGGAGGTAGATGAAATAGTGAGAAAGTGGATAAGGGGCTTAGCCCCTTAGGGCACCGTCTTTCTGGTGGCCCTCACACCAAAGCTTGCCTCTCCCCTAGACAGCATGACCACAGCAGGTCTCACAGCTGCCCGGAAAACCCACTGCATAGTTAGCTCATACCCCTACAGGCAGCTGCTCTGGAATATTACTGATGGTCTCTTTGGGTGGGGTCCAGTCTACCAAAGTGTGTCTTGCTTTTAAGATATATTAGGATCCTTAATGGTAGATGTTGTTACAGAAATAGCCCAAATCTCAATAATCTAATGTAGCAATGATTTGCAATTGACCCTTGAACAATGCAGAAATTAAGAATGTTGACCCTGTCCTACATAGACATTTCAAAATCCACATGTAACTTTCGACTCGTAACTGACTACTACTAATAACCAGAAACCTTATCAATATCATAGTAAATTAACAATTAATTTGTGTATATATTATATAGGGTAAGGAAATATTCAGAAACCATGAGCACTCACTTTCAACTGCGATGAACAATTTACTGGAGAAATGGCTTGCGTGGAAATGATAAATGAATACTTGAAAAACTTGAGCTCACAGATACAGCAACAGGAGAGGGCAGGACCTTATTACTGGAGTGAGGTCCCTTGCAGGATGTTGTGAGTATGTCCCTCTCAACGACAAATGGCAGCAGGTAGCCTGTAATTTTGTGCATAAGTTTTAACAAATTTAACCATTGATAATAGATTTGTGAATATTTTACAGTAATAAAGGATAGATGATTATTTACCAATCTATTCATGACATGTTTTTCTTAATTATTTTTCTAGACTAAAGTTCATCTGTGAGTCTTTTCAAAATGTTACAAATCTCAAAACAAAACAACAAAAAAGTAACCCACATGTAAGTGTACCTACAGAGCTGGAATCGTGTTAAGGATCAGCTGTACTCATGCATAGAAGGTGTGCAGAGGCTTCCTGGCAGGCGGCTCTTTGCAGAGCTCTCTTCAGTAGGACCCAGGCACTCTGGCAACTTCCATTCTGCAGCTTCACCACCTCTGAGCCTTTCTCATTTTATGGCCAACCTTAGAGTAACGTGCAACCATCTGAGAAAGTAAACAGGAATTATTTGGCTTATGAGTCTGGAGACTGGGAAGTCCAAGATCAAGCTGCACCTGCTAGGTCCTCTCTGCTGCCTCATATCATGATGGACGGTGTCACATGGCTGGAAAGACTGAGAAAGCTACTCTTCCTTTTAAATCAGAGCATCCTCAATAAATCTACCCAATTGGGGGAAAAAGACAAAACAAAGCAAAACAATCACTAAAAATAAAAATCCATGTGAGGGTTTTGTTTGTTTGTTTTGGGTACCGGGGATCGAACTTACAACCTTACGCTTGCCAAGCAGGCGTTTGTGCCACTGAGCTAAACCCCTGGTCCCCATGTGAAGAGTTATACAGAAACGAATTTAGTATTTATTTATGTTCAAAGATCACTTTGAGGTGGGAATAAAACAGATGAAGTTTGCCAATATGAAAACTGTCTGCTCATAGCATCTGTACAAGCGGGACTCGTTCTCCATGAGCTTCCAAACTCCTGGATAAAGGAGAGCTCCAGGAGACCACTCGGGCAGTGCTTTCTTCCCAGGAATATTCATAAATTTATTTCCATTCATTGGCTTCCTTTCTCATCCAGACGCTATCCTAGGCACATGACAGATGTTACTTCTCATTCTCAAACATTCTACAAAGTGCTCATTAATAAGCCCATTTTACAGAGGGGTGAGCTAAGTACCAAAGAGTTTGGGTAACTTGTCCGAGGTTGCACAGATCATGTTAAGCAGCGGTGCAAGGGATTTGATCCCAGACAGTCCGGCTCCAAGACTTGCATGTTTCATGACACAAGCCTGCCTTTCCTTGTGATCCAGACAAAACAAAGCAAAACCAGCACAGCAAAGGAGACAGCAGTGGCTTCCGAGGCACTGTGACCTTTCATACGGTCCGTGGTGGGTGGTCAGTATTAGTGGGTTGGAGCCTTCTCTGCCCTTTGATAATCATTTCTGCCCTGGGTTCCCAGTGACAGGAATTTGAGACTACTGTTCCTAATTCCGGCACCAGCAATAAGAACACACAGACCACAAAACTGTGCAGCAGGAGGTAGCAATTACATCAGACCTTCCAGTCAGAGCCCTGAGCGTCTCCTAGCTTGCCGGCCTTGCAGCGACACACGGGGTCCCGCGTCCTCACAGCAAAGGGGGGTTGGTGGTGCAAGGGCGCCAGCCTGTACCGGGCCCCGTTGCCCCATCGTGCACACCTCTTCCCAACTCCGCTCAGCGTTAACATGCTGTGAGTTTTAAATTGGCCACGTTGCAAATGTTTAAACTGCAGGAGCTGATAAATGCTTCATACCGAGGCCTGTAAAAAACCCAGAGGTTCAATTGATATATTCTTGAAAATGGTGAGGGTGGGGGGAGGGGCAGGTGTCCAAGCTGGGGAATGGTGAGAAATAATAGTAAGGCTCGCAGCCAGCGTGCACTCGGCACCTCCAGTGTACCTGGCCCTGTGCTCAAGTCTGAAGAGGTTATCTTGTGTTATCTTGTATGTTCCCTGGAACCATACCATATGGAATATATTATCATCTGCATTTTGAAAGGAAAAATTAAAGTACAGAAAAGTGAAGCTATGCTGTCAGCCATGGTTCAAATTCGGGATTTCTGGGCTGGGGATTTAGCTCAGCGGCATAAGCGCCTGCCTTGCAAGCAGGCGGTCGTGAGTTCGATCCCCGGTACCGATAAAAAGGAAAAAGACAAAAAAAAATTCGGGATTTCTAAGTCTGATCACTTTGCCTGGCACCGACCACACTGAACCTCTCGGCCAGCAGTGCTCGGCTCCAGAGTGCTACCACCCAGAATGCCTGCTGCAGAAGCACCAGGGCGGGCTCACCACGGTGTAGATGCCAGAGGCCTCTCTTCTGTGTACTCAGTCCGAACCTTTGGAGTGGGGCCCAGGAATCTGGATTGGTATCACGCTCCCTGGCTGACTCTCCTGCATCAAAGGCTGCAAATCAGAGCCTATGGTTAAGAACTAACCTCTGGCAGGGTCTTCACACAGCTTCCCATGAAACGTAGTGGAAAAGCTGGCCCGAGTTTGTCTACGACCTGGGTGGGGCCGCGGAAATGGGCATGATGGTGCACGGTGAGCTCGTGCAGCTTGACTACGGCTGCTGCCTCAGAAACAGGTGGATCCCAGGCTCAGCGGGCTCTGTGGGGAGCAGGATGTGGCTGTGCTGGTGACTGGTGTGGGCTCTGGCCAAGTGAGCCTGAGGAGGAAGCAAAGGCTTTTATTTCACTGTCCCAGAAAGAGAGGGCAGTTGAAGTCTTCGTTTCATAACAAGATTCAATGCATGAAGGAAAATCTGCTTTGTGTTATTTCCTCCTAAAATGGAGATTTCCATATTTCAGAGTAATACAACCACCTTGGCAAAGGAGCCATGCGACCTGAGTGAGAATGCTGCCGGAGGAAATGCAGTCTCTGTGCACCGGTGGGGTTGGCGGAGTGGGCTGACACTTCACAAGCTGTCCTGTAAACAAGATGCAAGGGAAATATTTTTATAAAATACTTACACACCTTCTGGACCAAACAATGTGGAACACGTTCATTATTCATTCAAAATAAGAGGGTTCAAAAAGTCACTTGCAGTTCAGGTTAGGTCTAACAGACCAAATAATTGAAAAACAGCAAAACACTATCGAGTGACACCACCCAGGGGACCACGGTGACGCTGATGCGCTCAGTAGGTAGACATTTGATTGAAATTATAGGACCCCCAGAGCAAAAGGAAAGGGAAAAGGACAATGTAAAATGTGCTGTCTGAAGAAAGACAATGATGCAAACAGAATTTGAAAAGAAGCTGTCCAGATTGTAAGGTGGCACTGAGTATTGAATGTTTTAAGATACACCATACCCAGAAAAATTAGTGAGTAAATTTGACAAAAATAACATTTTTATATTACCTGTCACATCATCTTATTAAAAAACTAACAAAAATATGCAATTTTGGTTATCCTATATTTAAAAAATTGGACCACTATGTGGTTAACACATGAACAAACACTCTGAGATCATTTCAGATCCAATGGATAAATGAGGCAATAAAACAGGATCATAAAGAGAAAGACAAGGAAGCTGCTTTAGCTAAGGGGAAATGAGTGGCTTTCCTGAAGAGGTGACATTAAGTCAGGGAGGTGAATGAAAGGAAGCAGTTGCATCTGGGGGAAATGTTACAGAGCTAGGAAAAAGGCAGTGCAAAGGCCCTGAGGCAGGATAATGTTTGGGAATATTTGATAAATGAAAAGAAGTTAAAGTAGCTGAGGTACAGGGAATAGAAGAGGAGAAGGTCTCACTGGGAAGCTGTACTGAAAGCTTGGATCTTATTCTGAAGGAAAAGAAACACCACAACACTCTAGCTAACAGTGAGAAGACATATTTGCAAGAGGGGGAGCTGGACAGGGGCAGACTGGAGACCATAAGAATTGGTAAGGATAAGACAGCTGGCATCAGGCTGGTGGCAGAGGAGACAGAAAGAGGTAGTCAGAGTGTATTTCAGAGGCAGAGGACTTCCTGGTGGATTAGATGTGGGGACCAGGGAAGAGAAGAATCAAGGTCAACTTCTGGAGAGATGCTCAGCTCAGGCACCTGGCACCTGACTCCTCAGTTGCCAGCCATGAGTTCAGGTTTTAACCACGCGACCATGGCCTACAGGGCATTAACAAAGGGCCCTTGGAATCTCCCTGGCCAGACTTCCTCCACCAAACCCCGCTCCTCTGAGGACATACTGGGGTCCCTGCTTGCCTACCCCCCGGCCCTGGCTTCCTCACACCTCTCCAGGGGGACCTCAGCCCAGAGCCCACTCCGTGGGTACCACGCCCACCCTTCCCACCCTCTGTGCACTTCTCTCTTCCTGCTCTACACGGGCAAACAGGAGCTGCTCTTGGAATTCACGGCACAGGGTGTTATCCCATGAGGTCTTTCCCACCCACTGAATTGAGAAGGGACTCCGGTCCTCCTCCACCACCGTCCTCAGTGTCCCTCAGCTCCCTCGTGACACTCGCCTTCCCTGCTCTCACACAGACCCACCAGTGGCTGGGAAGAAGGGATGCGCCCCTTATTCCTCGGGTCCTGCTGGGAGAGCCTCACCCAGATTGTCACCCAGTGGTGCCTTCGGCATGTCCAGGCCACAGTGAGGCTCTTGTCCCGTGCTCTCGCTGCAGCTAGGCTTGTCCTGGGGTTGTCTGTGAGATCATCCATCCCCTCACAGATGAGGGGCTCCTCAACAGCGAGCAGCAGCACAGTGATGTGCCTATCTGTGTTGTGCTGGGTCTTTATCCCCCAGTCCTCAAGTCTTGAAGAAGGTGCTATTGTTAACCCAACTTACAGGTTGCAGAACTGAGGCTGGAAGGATTTAGGTATCTTTCACACTCCCATGTGAGTGAACAGTAGAGATGGAATAGAATCTTGGTATCTCAGTTTTTATTGTCTTGGACCTCTGCCATCCAACTCTAGGGCACAGGAGATCTGGGTCACCCCCCAACCACCACCAGGCCCTGGCACCAGTCCCCAGGAGCCCTGGAGGTTTACAACTCATTTCTCCCTCCTGGCTGCACAGCCCTGAGCCAGCTCCGCCCTGGGGAAGTGGGCAGCAGAAAGGCCATGTTGACTCAGGTGCCAGGTGCAGTGGGCAGAGTCTGGCCCCAGAGGCTGGGTGCCTTTTCACAGCAAAGAAGGGGCTCACTTTGAAAAGAAAGGGCTGGGCTGTTGGCTTGGTAGGCAGCTAGGAAGGGGCCACTGAACTCAAAAAAGGGTTTGCAGGTGAGGGGCTCCTGAGAGCAAAGGGGACAGTTGCAGCACAAAGCCAACCGTGCTCCGGCTGGGCCACCCCCGCCCCCAGCAGGCTCTGCTGCCCTGCAGCTGCAGGTCGAGGTCCTTTGGTGGTGGATCAGATTAAAAACAGGTTATTTCCTTAACCAGTTCAACTCCTCAGTTCCAGCAGATGCCTCAGTGTCAGCTTGCCTTTAATAGAACAGGTAGATGCCAGGTTACCCAGGAAGAGGACAGGACAGCTATAACTAATCTGTCCCTGGCGTGGCTTTGGGTTTTCTGAAGATTTTTCTCACACATCATCTACACAGATCCTTTTATAAAATAAGGAATAAGATGGTGGCATGGAGAGAGTTTGCCACGCTGACCAGCTGCCCACCCAGAGCTGCCGATGCCCGAGTGCCCTGGGCAGGCCTGATTCCACCTTCTGGAAATGAAGCTAAGAAACATCTCAGACGCACTCAGCCTGTCGGACCCAGAGCTAGACACAAATGCTAAGGCTGCTTCATACACGGGCAGTTGTACGCTGTCCTCTGCTTTTCCAAGCACGGCTCTCCGTAGATAGGCACTGAGTGGTGTTGGTGCACACCTAGCGTGGGCTAGAACCTAGGTACACCCCACACGTTTGCCATTTCCCTGTTGCTATCTTCATTCATTGTCCTCAGAGTTTCCACTTAGAGTATTTACCATGCGCTAATCATTTTGCATTAATCATCTGATGGACTCCTCACAATAAAGCATGAGATGAATGTCAGAATTTCTGCTTGATGGAAAAAGAAATCAGAAGTTCTGAGGAGCCCCAGAACATGTCCACAGCCCCACACTACAAGGTGGCAGTGCCAGCCTTCCCTTTGATTCATGGAGTCAGCAATGGGACCTTTGCAAAGGATGTTCGCTCTGTGTGGAGCTGCAGAAACTGTGGGGGGTCTTAAAGATGCAGGCTGGGGTGGACCTCTTACCTGCAGGGTCTGGTCCTGAGAGCTTCGGGCACAAGCCTTCCGGAGGATCCTGCTCAAACCAACAGTGAAGGACTTCAGAGCTAGCAAGGCAGAGTCAGGGCCTGGGAAACAGCACCAATCCTCCCCTGTCCCAGGTCGTCTTGGCTGGGCCGAGTGTTCTGGCAGCCCGTAGGCAGTCCTACCCATGCCCACTCTGAGAAGAGTCTTCCAGGCCCACCACCTCAACTGCAGGCAGGGCCACTACTGTGTTTGCATCGCTCACTCAGGCCTCACGCTCAGTCTAGACATTTGGAAGCCACCAGAAAAGGAGGTTAAAAACATTGCTTTCCACCAACCATAAGCCCAATGCTGAGTTTGAATCTTGGCTCTGTCACGTTAGTTGTGTTAGACTAAGCAACTTATTTAAGCTCTTTGTCAATTTTCTTGTCTTTAAATTGGGGATAATGAGTGATGGAATGATTAATTGAGATCATGAATTAATGCTCTTAGCGTACTTCCTAGAATGTGTTAGATGCTAAACAAACAAAACATGAGCTAATTTTGATCCAACCTAATCCTTACATGTGTCTGATAAATTAATGACCAAATAACACTGACCTACTAGTCAGAAGCTCTGAGCCTGTGGATTTAGCCAAAGAATCCTGCATCTCTGGGCCTCAGTTTTCTCTTTTTTAAAACGCTACCATCTTCTTATTATTTCACGAAAGGATCTGTGTTGCTGATATGTGAGAAAAATCTCCAGAAAGCCCACAGCCAATCCAGCGAGAGACTGGTTATAGTTGTCCTCTACCTGGGTAACCTAGAATCGACCTTTTCTAGTTAATACAAGCTGGGTTTGAGGCATCTGATGGAACTGAGGTGTTCAACTGGTTAAGGAAATAACCTGTTATTAACCTAATCTGTGAAATACACCACAGTGAGAATCTGTTCTGCAGTAAGCCCCTGTCCCAAAGAGGCCTCTCGCTGGCCCCTGCAGCTGACAGCTGACCGCTGCTCCTCCCTGGGCCGCCTTGGTTCCCAGCAGTGTGTGAACTCATCACTGGTATTGTGGTCTCCAGAAGTGAAGTCCAAAATGGAACATGACAACCAGAACACTAGCTGGATGGGGAAAACTGACACAGATATTTTCTGCACCTTAGGATGAAACTCTTTGCAAGGCTCCCATGAATACCAAACACAGAATTGGCATCGTGTACAGATAACTGGAAGTGTGCTCCTAATTCTGCAGGCACGGCCCCCAGATATTGAGGGACTCGCATGCAGTAAAGGTTAGGTAAGTGGGAACAAAGGGGGCACCCAGAGGCACTGTTCATTTGTCAGCTATGTTTTGGGTGGCCTCTCACTCCAGACAGTGCTCTGTGCTAGGGACAGAGCTGAGAATGCACCCTTCCAATCCTCACACCGCACGGATGCCTGCAAGACTGAGGATACTATATCCGGGCACACAGGAGGCTGGAGGGCTAAGGGAGACCCCCTGGAAGAGAAGGCACTTCTGCTGAGAGGTTAATCAGGTAGAGAAGGGCAGTGAGACCAATGATGAGCAGCAGGATGCCAGGTGTGGTACCTGATCGATGGCTCATCTTGATTATTGACTTGATCGGATTAAGAAACACCTAGGAAATTAGTGAAGTGCCCTTCGGGGTGTGTCTGTGCATCTTTCCAGAGACCGCTGGATCCCGAGGACTCCTACTTCACTGGTGGATTAATCCATCAGACATTGATGGCATTACTGAGAGGTGAGGTT